GGAGCCGCTCGTGGGCTCGGCTCGGCTCGCCCCGACCCACGAGCTCGTGGCTCGTGAGTACACGAGCTCGTGCCCACAAGCAACGAGCCTAGCCCGAGCCGAGCTCGTGGGTTAACGAGCCGAGCCAGCTCGGCTCGGCCCACTGCCACCCCTACCCATCAACAAAGCACATTGGATGCTTGGTCTGTTACAATTCAGAAGTCATATCTTGACTGCGTTCAACTCGACAAGTAAATCTTACCGTGACTAGAAGGTTTTGCAAGGTATTGAGTCGCACATGAAAGTATTATATGCTCTAATGAATACCCTAGGAATTTCAAAGAAGGATCCTGATTATCACGAACCAGAAGCTAAAGAATTGAAGGTGATCATCAACGACACACTCCCTCAGTAAACAAATGGGTAAGTCTGTGTCCAAGATTTACAATGCGTATATCTTTTTTATGGATTCATTCATAATAGTCTGTCACAAGTTATACAGTCATGATTGCGGGATATTCGTGGTGTTATATGCATTGTATCTTATCCGTGGTGGTAGACATTCCATTCCCAAGAAGTTTGATGCCAGCAAGTGCAGAATGGATATTGCTATGCTGCTTTACAAACACCAGCAAGTTTACACGAAGAGAGTAAATCAGCCTATGATGGAGGAAGCGCTTGTTCTAGAATGAAAACTGGCTTTAAATTTGTTAGTGAGGACAAAGATTTAGTTTGTAAATGTTATGAACATTGCACCTGTCTGGTCAATAGAGGTTCATGTAACGAATAGTAACTCGTAACCTTTGATTTGCAATAAAGGATATTAAAGTGTTTACGTTCATGATTTATCCATCTTTGATTACATTTTAATGATATTTTTATATATATGGTGTAAATTATACAGGTTCTTTATTTCTAACAGCGTTACGTAATCGGTGAAACATGTCATGTGGTACAACAGACATGTCACAGTTGGTTTCTTAACTTGGTCACAAATTTACATATCACGTCACACATACTTTTATACGACATGTGACATGTTACAGCACATGGGTTACAGACATTAGGATTCATGTTACCCGTATATGTCCACACCTCAGGTCACATATTCTCATTTCAAGTTACATATTCGCAAATCAGTTAACTTTTTCATACGGCATATCACACATCACAGGTCACATCACACATCACAGGTCACAGTACACAAGTCACTGATCTAGTATCAGGTTACAGATGTGGTCCAAATCTCAGAAAATTATTATTCTGACTCCAAAGTTGACAGACAATTAACTGTTAGTTGACCAATCTCAATGCATTCTTTAAAAAGACTATTTTCAATAAACATTATCTTTAAAAGAATATCACCTATCTATGAAATATTTGTATGTAATTCTATTGGTCATTTTAGTATAATGGAGCCAAGCTGGCGCATCTCCTATGGTTGTGACCTTGTCCTCCACAACGTCCGCATTTTATCGTCGATCTCCCTTCTCTGGATGATCTCTTTCTTTTCTTCGTAGGTCTTTCACAACTCCTCTTATGGTTAGGAAGTAATACTATTTCTCATTGTACTTCTTCTGGCACTGTGCATTTCTCTTGATTTCCAACGGGATATACAGAATCTTGGTACACATTCAAGTACGCATCTTTTGTGTAATAATAAGAACAGTAATCATAAGGATATCTTCTTATGTTTGTAATTACAGCCAAAATGTGTGGACACGGTAACAAATCAACTTGTAGAATCCTGTAAGTGCACGTTCGTTGCTCAATATCGACGACAAACGTCGATCTTTCATTGCTGACAGAAAATATTGTTTGGTTTGAAGGAGATATCTACGTACATGTAATAACAGTCAGATCACATGTAGTTGTATACAGGTCACATATACTCCAACGTGTCGGTCATGCATGAATGACTCATATCCCTGAGTTCATTTATAGATTCATGAAGCATGTTACACATGTAGTCTAGACCTCACTCGACAGATAGACGTGTATTAGAATATAGAGTTGATAGAGAGTACACAGTTACATCACATAGGTCACAGATTTAGATATCATGTTACATAAATTTGTTCCATTTACATATAGCTATGAAACAGAATACAGAGCTTCAAACTTAGTTTACCAACTAGGTCACAAAATCACAAAATATGTCACATATCAGAGTTGTTACATTACAATTCAAGATACTGACACTTACGATGGGTCACATATATATCTGAATGTTAAAATATAGAAAATTACCCTCAAGTTCCTCAAATCCATGCTCATTTTCCTAATCTCTTTTTCGTACTTGCTCGACAACTTTGTGAAAGTTTCATGCGCATCATCCTTATGTCTACAAAACCACGATTGTATGGTTTGCAGTAATGACTCTAGCAAGGATATAATAGGGTAATTTTTGGCTGCCTTCGTGACCGCGTTGACCGATTCCACAATGTTTGATATTATTGTAGAATATCTGTTTGTTGGCATATGTATTCGTGACTACTTTTCAGGTCCAACATCAGCCTGCAAACATAAATCAATTCAATGAACATCATATAAATACCATATGTGACCATTTATATGTATGTGAAATGAGATAAGACGTAGTACACTACCAAATACGAAATAATCTTCTCATTCATTGTTGTTACTAGAGACATGTTATAATCATATTCTTCCAGTGTGTAAGCACGGACAGCCGAATTAAATGCTTGTGTAATGTTTTGGCGTGACTTTCCATAATATGATTTTAGATTTTGCAGCAAATGATAAGAACAAATACCGCAACAGGCTCCCGGATACACATGTTTTATCGCATTCTTTATACTTGGGTGACAGTCCGACACAAAATGCAGCCCTTCTCTATTTCCATACGCCTTTTTCAACTTATCGAAAAACCATATCCAAAATTTGTCGTCCTCATTGTCTCCAATTCCAAAAGTAAGAACGAATATGCTATTATTTGCATCTTGTGTACATGCTGTGAAAAGGGTACCTCCATATTTACCATTCAAGTATGTACCATCAACAACAATCACCGGTCTACAATGCTCCCATCCCCGTATTGATGCACTTAGTTCCATAAAGCAATATTTGAATTTATTGTGACTATCAATGTAAACATTTCACTGTTGGAATGCGCATTGACTGGCACTGTGATGGACGTATTATCTATTTCTGCCTCAGCAACGTCAACGATTATCGGATATTTAGCAGGTTCACGCTCCATGTCCTTTAGTAGAATGTATGATAGCACATTATTGTCATTTTTTTTATCCTGATGGGAAACAAATCTTCATTCAGCGTGCACTTCAACGACACCACTACCTTCGTAGGATCCAGAGCAAATTCTGTCATAACTGTGTCCACAAGGGTTAAATAACTGCAGTTGTGAGCTACCAACGCCAATGAGAATTGCAATCCATACAGTAAACATACATGCAAGTACACTATTCTGCAAATACAATTAATATCAATAATTTCATCATAGGTGAAATATGTCACATGTCACACTGCACAGCAATGAGGTCACAAATTAGCAAACCGAGTTACAGATAGTTATGGATAAGACTATTACAAGTCGGGTCACAGATTGGTATCATTCAAACTACAGAGTTGACAGAGAGGGTCACATATACTTGAAACGAATGACGAAATGTTTAATTTTACATTCTCGGCACATAGTGGACGAAACATGTCACATTAAATAGGTTATAGTTTCACAAGTCAAGTCACAGTTTCAGAAAGCAGGTCACGTATTACCTATTAAGGTTACAGAGCCACAAATCAGGTCACATATGACTTTTCCTACATTGTTACACAGTGGTCACATAAACTCGAAGTGAATAACGACATGTTTGATACATGGACATAGTTGTTGAAACACTTCACATTTCATAGTAGAGATGTTACAATTTCATAGATCAGGTCGCATTTACACAAACAGTTCGCGTACGTGTCACAGGCATCTACTGCGATTCTACTGAATAGCAACGATTCTCTAGAATAGCAACCTGTGACGAGAAACCAACTAACGACGATATGAGCAGCTGTGACCCATAAGTTAGATATTATACTAATTCCTTGACGAACGACATTCGTGATTATTGATTTCAAGTTGTAATCGCAGCAAAATACACGGTTACCTATACTATATTAGCCAGGGACGATCAGCACTTTCGTGGCCAGCTGTGATTTATCATCCCCTACAACGGTGATTTTAGGACCAATTCGTGTTACGGAATTCAATTCGGAATGTGACATTCGAATCGACGAACATAACATTCATATTATTACCTGGTTTGGCTTCTCCAACATTTATTTATTTTTTTATGAAATCGACACCGATCTCTGTGACCCGATAGAGGAATGAAATCAACCAATTTTTAGTAAAATCAATGGGCAACATAAATTTCGTTGCCGTGCATAATGAAATATGGCAGATTTCTTTGAATTTTGGTCACGGATTTTTAGCATTTAGAGTCCTATTATATATGGTAAGCGATCTTAATTGTAGAAAACGGATGTAACAGAATCTCTCTCTCTCTCTCTCTCTCTCTATATATATATATATATATATATATATATATATATATTGACGTACAGATGTTGGTTCACAGCGAAAATCCAAGAATTTAAATTTGCTAATGTGACATGAAATAAAGAGGCAACGTGTTATAGAAATTTTAAAGAAAAGAGCCAAATGTTCCAGCCTATATATTTAGGGCGATGCTGCTTGCACAGGCCCCTATGCAAGCAGAAATATTGATATATTTATAACTTCATTACATTTTTTTTATGTTTTTGTCTTCATTTTTGGGGTTATTACGGAATATCAAACAAAGGCGAAATATTACATTATTAATATCATTTCAAAGTGTTCACGACCTAGTATTTCACATCGTTAACAACACAAGAAACGGTCAATTGTAACAAATGTTACGGTGAGTCAAAGTGGTAATTCAAACCAATATTCGAGATTTTCGATAATATGCAAAATTAAAAAATTCTTTGGTGTTCATACACTAGTCAAATTCATAAATTGTCGGCGTAATCTTGAAGCTCATTGAACTATATTATAATCATACTGAATAGTTTAAATGAACATAAAAAATAATTACGTGCATCAAACATGGGTGTTAAAAAGAGGTGTATAACTCGTTTTTTCTTTAAATTTTTTCAATTATTTCATTAATGTTTATTATTTTTACGCAACAAATTTCTCAATACAATTTACATCATTTTATATGGGTATGACAATAAAAAAAAAAAAAATTGGATGTAAAATGACATTATTCCAAAAGTAAATTTTTAAGAATTTCCTAAATAATCGAAGAGATAACATTTTATATTAATGTAAAAAGTTTGACATTCATGTCAAAAGAGACGTCATCTAATTTTTTTTAAAAAATTTATTAGGAAATTTCCTAAGTGATGTTAAAAATTATATTAGAAAATTTTAATATTTTTAGAAAAATGATCGAGAGGTAAAAGTAACATTAATGTAAAAAAATTCCTAAAAATGATCCTTTTTTTAGAAATTTCTTGGATGTAAGAATAATTGAGAGGAAAAAATAGTATAACAATTCATATTCCATATAAAGTAATAAAAATTTTAGGGATAATTGTAGCAGATGTCCCAAATCTTTAAAATATTAGCAAACTTTCTCCAAACCTTTAATTTATTACAATCGTCACCTCAAACCTTTCGAAACGTTGCGCCAAGGCCCTTTTGGATGGTTTTCATCCAAATATCTGTTAGTTGACTAAGAAATTTGACTTTAACCATATTTTTAATATCTTTAAATGGGTAAAATAGTAATTTTCTATTTACTACATTAAAATAAGTTAAAAACTAAATTAGAAAAGAAAAACCCTTCTCTTTTTCCCCCCTTCCCTTCCCCACCCAAACCCAAACTCTCCATCATCATTGCTTTTATTTCTGTCTCTCCATCTCGACAAAAGCATTTGCAAATGTGTATTTATATTAGAACTTAACCGATATGATGTTTACAATGATATAGCTAACTGATGAACTTTGCTTATCTCATGCTACAATCATGATATGATTATTATTAATTTTTGTAACGATAAACATTCATGTAGTTCTAATTATGATTTAAATTCTAATGATCAGATTATTATTGTTAACATGTATGAAATTTTGAAAATATATAGCGATAATTTGCTCATCTTATTCCTTCTAATTGGAGTTATGAACTCTCGTATGAACTTACATGGTCATAAAGGTATTAACATTTTTTTTTTCACATTTACCATGTGATCCCTATTACGCAATGTGATATAGAAAATACATTGCGCAAATTATATTCACAATATGTTGTTGAATATGGTAGTACTAATGATCCACTATCATCGTCTTTTACATTTTTGTCATTTCCTAGTGACAATATATATGCCTATTTCAGTACGACTCGTGCAAAACTTTCATCATCTTCCTATTTTTTTATCTAGTACTAATAAGTGTATAAGATAAAATGAAATCATCGTAGAGTTAGCTAGATATTTTTCATATCATATTTTTAACAATTATAACCTTTATGGATTTTTTTATTTTTAACATTAAGTTATGGATCTACTATACATTGATATTTCTTTTTTCTTTTTTTTAATATTCGTGTACAATTTTTACCCCATCTGCGTATAATAGCCAATCTCCAATTCAAATAAAGAAGGACTTTTACAAGTTTATAATTCTTTTAATGAAATATTATTTTTTACATTTACCATTTTTTTTTCTAAATTTATGTCGTCATTATATTTTCGAGGTTAAAAGTGTAATCTTCAATTTGAAAAAACTACGAGCAACTTGGGTTGACCATTTAACACCGCCGAGAAATTAGCACTTCACATTTATAATATTTAACTCAATCATTAACAACCCTACCATTTATTCAAATGACCACATGAATCTCATATGTCAAGACTTTAGTAACACATTAGTGTTGATTTTATTTTTTTTATATTTTCTAAAAATCTTTTATTCTTAAAAGTAACGAAAAAGGTATTGCGATAGACAAAATCATGAGTCAGTAGTGGGACTTTAATTTTTGTGAATAACGTGGAAGAACAAGCGTAGAATGTGACCAAAATTAAAGTATTTAATGCTTAAAGAAAAGATGCAAATTTTTTAGTGCTTTCTTTCGATAATGTCTTTTGTTTGATTCAACCACTATTGTTTTTGTATGCTCAATATTTATAGTATATGTATGCATTTGGATGTTACTTTAAACGTATTGGTTGTACATGATTAATCAACAAATATATCGTTATATTCTATTCAATGTATAACATAAAATGTTTAAAATTTGATAATTTTTTTTTTGCAACTTGGAAGGTCAACTATGATGAAGGTAAATATGGGGTCAAATAAGACCTTCAAGTTTTAAAATAAATTAATGGGAAAATAAGAGGGTGTTATCAATTTTACTGATGCTATCAAAAGTCTGCACTTGTTGAACTCTCGAGCTTGAGGACTGCGAATAAGCACGATCGTGGTCTTCCGATACCTGAAACAAAGACAACGAAGTGTGTCCTCGTGGGAGTCAAGCGTTGATGCGTTTTCGATAAGGTCGGAAGAGTACTTTCAAATCAATGACAGTTATGGCAGGCTTGGGTTTAATAATCCTCCGAGAAGCAACAATACTTGGGGATCTAAAATCCCGACAGTGTGTACAGTAGTTCCTCACCATCGCATAGGGATGGCAAAATGGCTCGTGGGCTTGGGCCGTGAAGCTCAAGGCCCGATTTTGCCGAGCCCCATCTTGGGGTGGTGGGTCGAACCCGAGCAGGCTCGAAATTTAAAAAAAAAAAATTGTAAAGATAGCGGCTAGCCGTCGCCTTTGTTTAGGCAGCGTGGCTTGCTACCTTTACAAAGGCGTTAGCCTGCCTGTTGCCTTTTTACGAAGGCAATAGAGTTGTCATAAGAGGGTGTTATCAATTTTACTGATGCTACCAACAGTTTGCACCTGTTGAACTCTCGAGCTTGACGACTGCAAATAAGCACGACTGTGGTCTTCCGATACCTGAAACAAAGGCAACGAAGTGTGTCCTCGTGGGAGTCAAGCGTTGATGCGTTTTTGATAAGGTCAGAGTCCTAAGTATGCAAGAGTACTTTCAGATCAATGACAGTTATGGACAGGCTCGAGTTTAATAATCCTCCGAGAAGCAACAATACCTAGTGATATAAAATCCCGATGGTGTGTACAGTAGTTCTTCGCCATCACATAGGGATGGCAAAATGGCTTGTGGGCTCGGGCCACAAAGCTCGAGGCCCGATTTCATCGAGCCCTATCTTGAGGTGATGGGCCGAGCCTGAGCCAACTCGAAATTAAAAAAAAAAAAAATTGTGAAGATAGCGGCTGGCTGCAACCTTTGTTTAGGTAGCGTGGTTGTTGCCTTTACAAAGGCGTTAGCCTACTTGCTGCCTTTTTACAAAGGCAATAGAGCTGCCATGAAAGGAAAAACAAAAAACAAAAAATCAAGTTGGCTCGGCTCGGTAAGACTCAAGTTGAAAGCTCAGGTCGAGCCTCGATTAAAAGCTCGGCTTGGCTATAGCCAAAAAAAGCTCAATCAAGAAAAGCTCGAGTCGAGTCTGAGTCTTGATTTTTGGCTCGCAAGCCAGCTCGGCTCTACTCATTGACAACCCTACTATCGCATGATGATAATCCTCGAGCACGTGAGAAATTCTTGAGGACTATATATCTCGTTCACATCAATGGAGAAAGCAAGGTCATTTCATATCCTCGGGTTCAAAAGGTCAGAAATGATAGGTTTCTGGCACATCACTTACTTATATCATATTAGATGTTCTAAAGCAATACCACAAGTCCGCAAAAATGCTAAATAGAGATCAACTTTGATGAAAGGAAATTTTTTGATAAATGAACTTGATACTAAAAAGATCAATTAATTTATTGCAAGAAAATAAAATAATTTTGAAGCCTATTCATATTTATTGAAAACAAATTTAAGAACTTACGCTTTGATTAATTCGCAATAGAAATAAAATAATCGATTTTGATTAGGTGATAATTGCGCGCAATTGTCTATTTAGATCAAGAAAGTAGAGAAAACCATGCAATTTTATTAGAATACGCAGGTTTCAAAACCCATTTAATACTTTTTGGGTTGTGCAAATTATAGCTAATGTGAAACAGTTTGTTGGAGTCAAAGACAAGATCAAAAAATTCAAGATACTCTAATCGATCAATGTTGGTGGCAGGGACGAGCAAAGAATGCAAAAACACTCAAAAGGATATAGCCCATATCGAATCTTAACATGGGTTATTATTCTTAATAAATTCGATACCTTGTAAGTTTATGAATATTCTAAACAAGTTGTTATAATCATGGATAAAATTATATGGTATTAAAGAGAAATTGAAGGGTAAGATCGGTTGTGACAATCGAGTTGCACCAACATGATCTTCCACTACTACAAAATTCATGTATTTCTTGTGTTCATTTTGACAATTCTTTTCCCAACAATTCTGATAAGTGAAACAATGTATTTCGATGCAGAACATTCGATAACATATTTTATTAAAGAATTATAATTCAACAAACACTGCTCTAATACGCAATAGATTCATATTTTGTCTGAATCAAAAAGAGATTCCCCAACATGTTCATATTCCCACTTTTTCCTTTTCCTTTTTCTTTTAGCTTTTTTTATTTTGAATTTCTTTCTCTTAGCTATTATTGCAATGACACAATGATTTCAATAGCGTACACTACCACCACCGCTACTTTTATTCAGCCCTTATTTGAGCCCCATTTCTTGCCAAAAAAATATATTTTTGAATTGTGTATTGACGGGAAATGTATAATTGAAAATAATGATTTTTTATTTATTTATATGTAATATTATTTAATGAAAAATGTATGATTGAAATGTATCAAATCATTGTTTAAAAATATATTTTGAGGGAAATAATGGGGCTCAAACAAGGGTCAATATTCCTCACCAAATCTTTTTATTTTTGGTATATAAATTTTAACATTTTTTTTATTTGTTAATAATGTACAGTTTACAAAATAATCTATAAGTTTCTGCAGAAATGTCCCAATACATGGTTAATTTATTTAGCCTTCTTAAATGCTATTAATATTTCTTTTACGTACTATGTAATCATGATTAAACAGAAAATAATTATCATTACTACTACACAGGTTGGCTCAGCCATCGGTGGAATTTAATACATTAACATGATGTAATATAATCCTAAATAATTTGGCTTCTATATGTCAAGTTGGGATTTATTCATTTCTAATTTTTTGCCACTCTGGGCGGAGTGGAGATTTAAAACGCGTTGATTGGAACGAAAAATGATTGGAGAAAAATACTAATTTATGTGCAGAAAATAAAAAGTCAATTTACTAAATCCTTGTTTGATCTTCATTTCTTAAAACTCAATTTTTTTAAAAATTCATTTTTAACCACGTAATTAATGAAACTCACATTTTTACCAAAGTTTACTAAAAAATTGATTTTTAAACAAATCAAACAGGATTTAAATATCGAAACTAATGCTCTTTTACTTCTAGACACAAAACAACCTTCTTTTTATTATCTACTTTTTCCTCTATATTTTCTCTCTCTATTTCTCTTCATATTTTCCACTGGCATTTGGCCATGAGTTGGCCTTCACAAAAATCTAATGCATAAAAAAGGTTGAGCACCAACCTTGAAGGCCCCATCGCCCTATCCCCGGAGCATCGTAAGGGAGGTAAATCACGGGATGTGTTCCAACTGGTTAGGGAACAAGAGTTTGTCTGTACACTGGTGTCCACAAAGAGTCAAATTCCATATATCAGGAATTCAACCCTCACACTGCAGCTGCCAGCAAAACTGAACTACCTCACTCCAATTCTTTGCACCACTGTGTTATGCCACGGGGAGCTGAAATCTAATGCATAACGTTGTGTGCAATTCTTTCAACAAGCCCATGCTTTAATTTTGGTAAGTTTTTAATTATAGTTTTCATCAATTTTAATTTTTCATTATGTGTCAATTTATAACTGGATTGACAGTAAATTGGACAGCAAAATTAGACCGCAGATCGCATCTCATTAATGAGGTACTTTGACCATATCTGTATGTTTACATGATCACAATTCTAGTCGTACATTGTTGTTCATCCTTTTTTTGTACTCAATTTAAGGGTAAAAATATCGTCGATTAGTATAAAATAGTGCAATACTAATCAAAATATAAGAGCATCTCTAATTCCAAAATACTCCTTATTTTAGCATTTTTGTCATAATATATTATAGAGTATTTTTAAGTTCAAAGAGTATAATATTTTATACACTCTAACAAACTCTTTATTTTAGTTTTTTATTTTACTTTTTCCTACATTCATTTATTGTTTTTCTCTCATTTTTCAACTAATATATATATTTTTAGATATCAACGGCTAACATTCAACATAATATTAATAATTTAAATAGTTAAGAATTGAAACTTCCAGCATTATTAAGTTGACTTTTTAAAATAAAAAATATTTTATATTTAGGCCCTGTTTGAGCCTCGTTATTTCTTCATAAAAATAAAAAATATGATTGTTATCCATCACATCAAACCACCATATTTGACTTTTTTATCTTTTGTGTGAGACTCATAACGACTGTATTTTTCATTCTCATTTTTACAATAATGTGGCTCAAGCGGGGCTTAAAGGGTTTTCTTGATAAAGTTGACATTTAAAAATGAAATCCTAAGTCTTAAATAGTATAATCACCGTTTAAGATCATTGATACTAAAATATTGAAGTTAGCATAAATTCTCATATGATCCAGGAGAACCTGGGAATGACGTTATCTCCAAAGCAAATGTGCAAACGATCTTCTTCATCGGTCCAAACTATTTGAAAGTACACGCTTCAACGTAGAAGTGGCATTAAACCCAAGCAACTTCTCAAGACTCTAGTACGGTGGATTCAAAGGAATATCAAAGTCTTTAAGGAGCTTTACAATATTTGAACAATACTACAAGTACAACAATTTTGTGAGAGTGCTGTACATGTATAGCATTGTATGCACAGCAATTTTGACAATATTTTACCTACATTTGGCCAGATATTGTACACGATGTTAATAAAGTTTGTCAATACACATCCTCCAATGCCCCCAATAAAAGAGATACAAAGTAGTACGTCAGAGACTCGCTTCACTACGGCATTAAATTCCTCTTACAAAACCTTCTAAAACTCTATAGGTTCTGTGACATAGGTTGTCCCAACACAAGAAGAAGCATTGTAGGTTATTGTATTTTTCAAGGAGCTAATTGCCCATCTTGATCTTCCAAGAAGCAACCAACAATCTCACGATCTAGTTCTAAAGCGTTGGGCTTTGGCTAATGCTACAACAAAAATTTCTTCAACGACATTGGTTTCCTCTTCTTTAGCGCCCATAGTTATTGCGACATCAAAAGTGTTTTGCATAATAGTGAATCGTGTTTTAATACTCAGTAAAAACCATATCTAAATTAATTACCCTTTTGTTCGCCAAAAGGTTGCGTTTGGCATACTATACCAGATAAGGATATCTTTTATTCTATTTGGTAGTTTGACCAAATTGTAGTAGGGAATCATCTCCAAAGATCTCGATTAGAGCAAGCATAAACGTGACTTTACTCCAGTCACTAGCATTGCCTTTGGCATCCTCCTTCTTGCTGTTAAGGTAAACAACTTTACATAAACTTGTTTTTTTGGTAAATAGTCGTCCAAGCCTGGTCACTGCGACCCCCTTTATACGTATATAGGTACTGGATTAAATGAAAAATGATATGTTAAGCATCCCATCATATTAATTAATTAGTGGACAAATTTATGATAGGTCCTAGAATTTAAATTAGTTTTGTTGAATTGATGTGTCATATTAGTAGACTTATCAACGAGCTGAGTCGAGTCGGCTCGCGGGTCGAAACTCGAGGCTCAAGCTCAGCTTTAGTAAAATGGTTCGAGTTTTTTTGTGAGCCCGAGCCGAGCTTTTGCCAGGCTAAGAAATCTAGGCCGGCTCTTTTTTTTATTATACTTCCTGACAATTCTCACATTTAAAAAAAATTAAATTTTTACAATTTTTACGAATTATAAATTAAATAAAAGTTACAACCCTCCTTATTTTTCAGGGTTTGGAATAATTATAATCAACGTAGGTGAAGTTAAATTATATACGAATAAAATATTTTGTATACAATTTTTTTTGAAATAAATAAATTTATAAATTACGTATTTTTTAAAAAATTAATCAATTTAAAAACTTACAATATCCTTGTGCTTGGATTTGTTACAATTCTTCGACCATTATATTGTCAACTTATTTTTGAATATGTAATTCCGCAAATTCCCAGTCCTTTAAGCATATTAAAGCCTCTGATATATCTTCTTTTAGTTTTGATCGTTTGTCTGATAAAACTCGACCATCTAACCTAAATGCAGCCTCCGATGTCTCCGTAAATACTCGATGTGTTAGTAGATCATGTGAAATTTTTGATACAATGGATCTTGCCTTTCATTATATCTCCACCATGATAGAAGACTAAATTCTTGTAATTCTTTTAGTTGTAACATATTACGAATGTTTACACATATATATTTAGTTAACTCAGAGGGAATTTCAAGATTTGTACCACTAACATCTATCGCTCTAGATATTGATGAAATAAAACTAAATGAGGGAACATTTGTATTGTGTTCAAATAATTCCATAGATCATCTGAATTTGTTAAGATATTTCTTGAAAAAGAACTTTGGGAAGTAGAATTGCCCTAACATTTCTTTTTCAGCATAATAGTTATACATTTCACACAATGTAGATTCTATATGCACATGTGATAATTCTAAATTCATGAAATTTGAAATCCCTTTATAATAGTTTTTGTGTCAGTTAAATTAAGTCGAGAGTCCATCACCAAAGCTAAAGAAATAAAGAGGGCAATTTTTCCCAATATTTATGAAATTTTAACTCCATCGAGTAGACTACATCAACAAGAATTGGCAAATTCCTATATTTATGAAATGTAGAAAAAGTGTAGTAAAATAAATGAAGATGTAGGATAATAAACACCGCTACATTTATTTGTAATATTGAAAAAAGATTTTAAAAATTTTTCTCACACAAAATGCAATAACTCATTCCCAATCTTCCAAATTATGTTCAGGTCCTTATATATGCATACTATTATAATATAGTAATTTTCATACGAATATGATATAAGATATGTAAAGTTTCATTTATGTGTAACATCAGTGACAAATGATTTTTCTTATAAGTCATACTATGTACACAAACTGTTGGATGCTTGATTTTTGGCTAGTGACAAAATAATAAAATTTGTTGTTTTTCTAATTTTATTAAAAGGCGATTTTATGTTTTAATCCTTTTTTTATAATCAACTTGATAATGTGGCATGCATAATGTTGTAAAATAAATTTTCAAATACAGGGCTAAAGTCATTAATAAATTTATCGATAACAAGTTCGTTACACTAGCATTATCAAAAATAAAACTTCAAACCATTTCTTGCATAACATATTCTTATATAATATCTCTTAAAACTATGTATATATTAGTTGCATTATGAGGATATTCTACACATGTGAATATAATAATCCTTTTATATAGAAGTCATAGATGATCAATGTAAAGAGCCGTAATAGCAATATAACATTTTAATAACACTATTAAAAGTTTTTAGTTGTTCAATAGCAACTTGTTTTCTTTTATTAAATAATTTCACAGTATCTAAACGAAGATTATTTCTGTAATAAGAAGTATACCTGGGTTGGAGATAATTCTGCATGAGTCGGGTAAAGTGAATTGAGTCTATGATCATAAGTGGTATCTTTGCTGTAGCCACGCATGCAATCACTCCTTCACGAAATCTTTCCTGTAAATATATAAAGGTGGAAAGAGTAGAACCAGAATCGTCAAATACTAGTTCGATCTGTTTCGAGTCGAGCCTACTAGTTTCGCTTTGCAACTTTTTAATATGTGCCTATTCAAATACGTTGTGCTTGAACCAGGCTTCCGTCATGGTAATTACAACATACTTTCTAAATATCAACTCCAGTTTGAACACCAACTTTTTTACGTATCATATATTGTTAACAATTTGAGGATTCTTTTTTTAACCTTTTAGTAGTCTTGAGTAATTCTTCCTCTTCGATATCCTCCAAATTAATCGAAACATTTTGAGATGTATTGTAGCCGGCCGTAGTACTCGAACTACCCTTAAACTGATTAATCTCATCACTAATAAAATCTATCTATATTCTATAATTATTGTAACAAAAGTTACTGAATATTAGAGTAGAAAAATTGAATATTAGAGCAAAGAAATTAGTTATTGAAGTTGAAACTTGAAACTAGAATATTGCAAGTTAAAATTGATACGAAACTGAGAAATTTAACCCTTGTTTATAACCAAAAAAATCAAACCGTTTAAACTAAATTTGGAATTCAAATTTGAATTTTAAATTCACACTAGTCAAATTACTGCTTGTTTATATCTATATTTAAGGCAGCTAATGTGCTGCCTGCAGTAAATCAAGTAGCAGATTTGTAGTCGATAATTCACTGCCATTTTTATTTTGTTTACTTTTTTCGGCTCAGGCCGAATGGCCCGTAAAAGAGGCCTTTCGGGGCTCGATTTTCCTAACCCATGGGCCGAGCTAGGTTGGCTTGGGCTTTTCTTGAGCTGAGCCGCAGGTCACCCGAGCCGACGAGCCTAATTTACACCCTTACTTATTATTATTCTTTTACATAAGTTAAGCAGTGGTACTAAGTTGATCATTACTACAAATCAAATTCATCCGATCTAGTTATCCTACTTGAACTGAACCGAATATTTCGATAAATCGATAGATAAATAACTAATAAAAATGTGATTATGTAGGATCGTGACTATGGATAAACCCAACCAACACCCATGTTGTTGATGCTAATTCCACCTACAATTGAACAAATCAACAATGTTAGGAATTAACTTGAAAAAAAAAATAACTGAAGAACAATAAATTTTTCTTTTGATTTGTCTCAGAAAAGTTCAATCACACACAACAAAGGCAACACCAATTGGAGACTTTTCCAGTCACAAAGACAGAGGCACACAAAGGCAGAAACTGGGTTTCTTTTGCAATCATAGGGAGAAGCACACAAAGGCAAAAGCTAGGTTTCAGAAATGCACAAAGCAGAGGCCAGTTTTGGTGTGTAGAAAGTAAGGCCAAGAGACTCCAATTTATAGGCAAAGGAAAAACTGATTTTTGAGAAAGAATCGGCTAGATAGTCTTCAAAAAAACTAAAAAAGGTTACCAAGGATAAGGATAGTATAACCATTGCAACAATCTAAATCTCAATTGATTTCAAATTATCTCCAAAATTGGGTATTGAGCACCTAGCACAATGGGCTGATTTTCTCTAAATACCCAGCAAAATTGGGTTACATCAATTGTGGTGTGGATTTATAATTTTCTTCAATCCTGGGCTAATAGCCTATGAAGATAAATGAGCCTCGATTTTTCATCATTGTCCAGGGGTTATTTGGGCATCACTTACTAAAATACCCAACAACCTCCACCTTGATGTCAAATCAACCTACAAGTCAAATAAGATAACAACTAATTTAAGGAAAGAGACTTACAAGTTTGTACCGATTTTTAGAAGATCAAGGCAGTTTCTAAACTTTACCAATGAGAGCACCTTAGTTCTCATATTTGCAAGATTATATTCTAAAAGAGCTTTCTCAAATTTTACGAGTTCTTGAGAAATCATATCTCTAATAAAATACAGTCTAACATTTATATGTTTAGTCCGTTCGTGAAAGATAGGATTTTTGTATAGGTGAATAACAGATTAACTTTCAATATATATTGACACATTGTCATTAAAAACACCAAGTTCATTTAATACACCTTTAAACCACAAAAATTTTTAAAGGCTTCAGTAGCAGCAATATATTTTGATTCAGTAGTGGATAATGCAACAACATGCTGAAATTGTGATTTCCAGCTTACAAATAAATTACACAAAGTAAACGTATAAGAAGATGTAGATTTCCTATTATCTTTGTTACCAGCATAATTAGCATCAGTAAAACCTTTTAATTTTACTCTTTCAGTACTGAACTTATATATCAAGCTAATATTACATGTTCCTTTCAAATATCTAAACAGCTATTTTAAAGCTTCCCAAGTTTGGGACTAGGGTTGGACATATACCTACGAAGTGTACTAACGACAAAGGCTAAGTTAGGTTTAGTACACACCACTAGATACATCATAGAACCAATGGCATTCATTCATGCTAAATTTTTTCATATTTTTCATGATATAAGGAGCTGATGCAAAAATAAAAATGAATTAGATCTATCTCTTTGAATTTTCATGCCAAAGATTCCTTTAGCATTACTTAG